GGGCTTGATGCCAGGAGCCTGAGACCATGACCTGAGCTAAAGTCAGGTGCTTAATGGACTGAGCCACCTAGGCACCCCTGGAAACTTTAAAAGCTTTAATGAATTCAGTTGCATAGTCACAATACTTCAAAATACGGGGTCCCCAGTGGGAGAAGAATAGCGTACAGGTCCCTGATGGGGAAGGACTCATGCGGTTCCATCCGGTTCAACTCGACACTTCCCAAGGTCACTCCTGGCCCTAGAATTTCTATGGTTCATGGCCTAGGACATCTTCTCTTCCCCTGCGTTTTTCCCACAGGCACACTACCAGTAAAATATTAACAATATGGTCATCCCTCAGATTGTGGCAGCATGGCCTGGAACGAGATGTGCTGGCCCATCGCCCACCTCCCAAATGAGGAAAGGCAAGTCAGACCTGGATTCTGCAGCTTACGACCTCAAGTCACAGAAGGTCTCCGTGAGGCTGTGAAGGGACCTCACGGGAAGTTAACTGCCTTCAGGAGTGACTGTCAACTTGATTACTAACCAGAAGAGCTTCCCGGAAGATCGCAGGGAGAAGGTGCAATGTAGAGTCAGAGACCACAGCGTCCAGACAAAGCAGTCTCAGACCGAATTCTGCACCATGCCTGTGCAATCTCATGCCAAGGACTTCACGGGTCCTGTTTGGGGCTGAATTGTGTTCCCCAAACGATAATGTTCACATCCTAACCCCTAGTACCTATGAACATGTCCTCATTTGCATTAGGTTCCTAGCAGACCTGACCAAGTTAAGGTCCCACTGGAATAGGGTGGGCCCTAATCTAATGACAGGTTTGCTTAGTAAGAAGAGGAAAAGGGGAGAAGACAGAAAAAATGCAGGGCAGAAGACCCTGGAATGACAGAGTCAGAAGCCAGAGTAAGGCATCTACGAGGCAAGGCAAGCCAGCAACCACCAGAAGCTGGAGACGCAGGTGGGACAACCCCCTCCCCCCCCTCCCGGCCCAACTCTGGAACCACCAGCAGGAGCACAGCCGCTGCCCC